AAAAAAAAAAAAAAAATAGCTACCAAAATCTTTTTGGTAACTTGAAACCTTAAAGTTTTGCTAAGCTAAGTTAAATAATGGAATCTCATTGAATATCTAGATCATTTCCAAATAAGATGAAACAGTGAAACATTAATTACTGAACACAGGTTTACTAACTCTTCTTATTACAGAGAAACTAAAGATATTTTGGTTTATTAGTAAATGTGTTTTGTGCCACATTGAAAGATTGTACTATGAAAAAGTGTATGCTTCAAAATTATGAAATGTATTCATAAATTTGCCAGTCTACAGAATTCTGGTGTAACAGTTCACAACTGCTCACTTCTTAGTTTTCACTAGAAGTTAAGGTTGCTAAGGGTTAAGAATTCTAATTAATATATGTAATTAAAGCTACAAGAAATAATATGGGAAACAACTCTGTATGCAAGAAAAGTAAGATATATTTTTACCTAAGAAAAGATATGATGTATGGAGATGCATTTCTGTTGAAGGAAATGAAAGTGATTTTGTCCTAAAGTAAAGCTGGTTATTTCAGAATGGGAAGGTGGAAAATAAAGGATAAACTAAATGTATATAGAAAGTTGAAGAGGGAGAGAAAGAGAATTTTACGTTGTATAATCAAGCTGGCTGAAATTGAATTGTTATTATAAGGGTATTTAAAATAAGCCTTAATATCAATAGTGTACTTATATAAAACTGGAACTTGATTTTCTTTCATCTGTTAAAAGGACAAAGTTCTACTGGACTATTGGTCTTCTCCTGATAAGAAGTTGTGAAAGGTTTTTCTTTACCTCTTAAGTAATCTGCCTAGAAAGCAAAGATTTGGTGTTTTATCAAAATAATTTCCTGTGCTTCATGTTGTCTTAATCAGGTCTTTGATTATTTAAGAGAACTGAATCATCTCAGTATTAAAAGAGATAAGTTTTGCTCACAACTGTGTAACAATCTCTATTTGCCTTTAAAATCTTTAATTGTCACTTTGGTTAAATAGACAACTATGTATTGTTTCATAGCGTGATTCTTAGTTAGTCAAGTGTCCAAGCTTTTTGATATTTTTGACAAACTTTGCCAAATCAAACTCTAACTAAAGTCTTTTTGACATGGAAGTAATTTGGGGATTTTCCAGAGGGCCCCTGGAACATCCCAAAAGATTTCTTCTCCTTAAAGACAGAGAGATAGAGGCTTATGGATATGTTAAATTATATGGGAAGCGCTGTCAAATAAGACATAATACTAAGCCTTCTTTAAGCTGTATTTGTATAGGTATATAAGCATTCCAGAAATTGTATGAAATTCCTAAAATTCTGATATGTCTGGTGTAATGTTAATCAGTCATTAATTCTAGTAATTACCTTAATAATAACTAGAACGGTGTCTGTTACAGAGGTAACCAAATTTCTTTGTCAATCGCATTGTAATGAGCTCTAATCGGATCTTCAACCATGGCCACTTTTAAGTCTTTGCCATTTACAGAAGTTACTGTTTTGCGCTGATGCTTTTGCAGAAGTGTTTGCAAGTGTGCTTCATCTTCAAGGAGATTCACGGAAAGGACTCTGGCAAGCACAGATTTCTGATAACTTAAAGATCATGAAACTGAACTGAGTAAGAATCTCCAGAATTGATGAAAAACCTGGATTTAAGCAGAACAAGAATTAAGAACAGACTGAACAAACTGATCATGATGATTATAATTTTATGACTTTTTGTCTGAAACATTGTTGGTTCCTTAATGTTTTGTTTTTCCAGATTACGTTCTTTAATATTAAGGAAACTTTTTCTCTTAAGCTACCTATGACTTAGAGCAATTTGATAAAGTGTACCTTTGTGAATAAGGATGAAACAATTACTTTTTCTCCCTACCTGATCCCTTCAGAATTTGGAAGCTTAGTGAATGTTCTTTATGAAAAAATATTTATTTGCGTAAGTTAATAAGAATCTATTCTTCTTGTAACAGGGCACAACTGGAAACATTTGTTATATTATCAAAGCTTTGGTTGGAATGTCAGATTTGAGAAGATTCATAGAATCAGATATGACAAGACAGTTTTAAATAATTAAGGCTGAGTTTATAGAGTCAATAAATCCCCTTGGAAAAACAGCCTGGTACCTTGCTTTCAGGGTTCCTGACAGTCTTACCAGGTTAGTAAGGAAAGTCCCTTCCTGGCAGGTACAGGATACTTGGGGGACCTCAAGAAGAGAGGAATCAACTCAAATCTATAAGCATTAAGGCAAAGTCTGATGGAAAGTCTTTGGCTTGGCTTCCTGACCTCTAGATGCTTTTTTTTTTTTTTTTTTCCTCTAGATGCTTTTAAAAGTTCAATCTGGGGCCTCCCTGGTGGCACAGTGGTTGAGAGTCCGCCTGCCGATGCAGGGGACACGGGTTCATGCCCCGGTCCGGGAAGATCCCACATGCCGCGGAGCGGCTGGGCCCGTGAGCCATGGCCGCTAGGCCTGCGCATCCGGAGCCTGTGCTCCGCAATGGGAGAGGCCACAACAGTGAGAGGCCCTCGTACCACAAAAACAAACAAACAAACAAAAAAAAAGTTCAATCTGATATTCCTTATGAAAAGCCAGCAAAGAATATTTAAAAGACCCTACATGGTCAATTGTTATTCTTGCTGCGCTTGCACAAATAATTGGGACAAGTTTATTGAAACTAGACCTATTTTGTGAACAAATTAGTCTTCATTTGGCTATCTTTGATAGAAATAAGGGTGATTTTAGAAAAATTATGTTTCAGTAGAAACTATAATACACACTTGTAGATAAGATTCTAGTTCTGTTAATTGTCTCTGAGGTTTTGTTCTCTACCCGTAAACTGGACTGGATCCTGAATTCTAGTTTCCTCAAATATCCGGCTACAAATCTCCAAACTAATGTTTCCAATTTTCTCCCACCTTTCTGACTTGGAATCACTAAAAACAAAAGCTGCCCTTTTCCCTGAAACCCTGCAAACTGAATGTGAATGGCTTGATATACACTTCAGAGAAATCACCATAACAGCTCATATTTAGACATCGCTTGTGCCTGTTGCTTTGTGGGCCACTCAGAAAGTGTAACTGAACACCTGATGACATCATCAGAGACACTCAAACTGCAAAAGATGGTTCAACCCTAACATAGAGAAAATCTTCTTGACTGGCTGCCTCCTGGGCTCAGAAAGTGGTTTAGAGTCTTCTCCAACCATTAAGCTTTGGTTTTCTTCCGTTTCCTTAGAAATGCCTCTTAATAAATACCTGACAACTGGCACTATCTAGGCCTAACTCTGGGAGCACACCTGCAAGACCACCTCCTGAAATGAGACACAACAGTTTAACTAAGCTGACCTATTCTCACTACTGAGACAGGTTCAATGAGATATGGAGCAATTTGTCAACTCAGCTTCTGGACTGTGAAACTTGTTTGAAGTTTCAAAGGTGGGATGAAGGGGGGAAGAATTTGTCACCCCAAGATATGCCTCTTCAGCATAAGGATTATTTTAACATGGTTAATTTTAAGAAACTGCAGACATAGGGGAAGCTCTAAAAATGGAGCTTTTGTAGGAGACATTTACATGTATGGGGGAAATCTCTTATTTGTAAGGGTGTCTTCCTCACTGTACCAGGAATGGTAGATAAGGTAGACAAGGTAAGATGACCTTATCTCTAGAAACTCTTATCAATGTAGAAAACAATTGTTTAAATCTGCATAATGACCTTACCCTTGTTTACTGTGCTTTTCCTGATAACCTCCTATAACTAACTCCTCAACCCCAACATTTTCTTTTGCCTTTAGCTGAAGATGGTATTTAGGGTGACAGCTTCAGCCATTTGGGGGAGTTACTCTATTTTCCTGGGTATCTCCCTTGTATACAGGAGGCATACATATTATTAAATTTGTTTGTTTTTCTCCTGTTAATCTTTTTATTACAGGGGTGTCTCAGTCAAGAACCTAGAAGGGTTCTTTCCCTAGAAGGGAAAATTATTTTTCCCTCCCCACAATAACATCCTTTGACAATCTAAACAGAGAACACTATGACACCAGAAAGTGATGGCTCTAATTTTTGTTCTATTTTTGAGCAGCTTTTTTAGTTCTGGGATCATTTAAAATGAGGTGTTTAAGTTTATATGTTTGAGTGAGAATGCTTCTAGGTGGGACTGTACAGCTCTCAAAGTCCTTTCACACTCTTTTCTCAGATGATCTTCACAAAGCTGTGGGTTAGGTAGGACAGGGGTTATTACACCTGATTAATAGATGAGGAAACCAAGGCTTTAAGATCTGCTAGAAACTACAGAGCCAGGACTCAAGCCCAGGTCTGCTAACACCATATCTGCGCTCTTCCCTCTCCACTCTGTGGCTCTAAACTGAAGATGAACAGAAATCTATCCACCGACCCATCGTGCCAGCTGCCTACAAATTAGGTAAACCATGCCCTCCTCCCGGTTCCATGAATCACCATAGCAAAGAAGACAGTTGCCAGGTTTTGCAAAAAACTAAAAATAGAACTACCATGTGACCCAGCAATTCCACTCCTGGGTATATATCAGAAAATAACAAAAACACTTATTTGAAAAGATACATGCACCCTAATGTTCATAGCAGCACTATTCATAATAGCTAAGATACAGAAGCAACCTAAGTGTCCGTCAACAGATGAATGGATAAAGAAGATGTGGAACATATATGTACAATAGAATACTATTCAGCCATAAAAAGAACAAAATTTTGCCATTTGCAACAACATGGATGGATTTGGAGGGTATTCATTTAAAAACTGTGAATCATTGTACACCTGTAACTAATACTGTACCTCAACTATACATCAATTAAAATTTTTTTAATTAAAAAAAGGGGGAACTCCCTGGCGGTACAGTGGTTAGGACTCGGTGCGCTCACTGGCAGGGGCCCAGGTTCAATCCCTGGTCGGGGCATGTGGCCAAAAAAAAAGAAGAATACAGTTGCCAGGAACATACAGTTGTCCAGCATGACTTGTCTCAAGCCTGACCCTGATAACTCACCTTGCGTTTGAGGAAAGCATCTTGGTAGAAAAGCACTGCCTGCAGCTCTGGTGAGCAATCTGCTTCTCTGGACTGTTCTTTGGGCTTCTCTTGCCTCTTGGTGATGACTGCTTCTGATATTCTGACGTTCTGCCCAGAACCCAAAAATAAAACCTCAGCGAAAGGCAAACATCCAGTCAAATATTTACCAGAGAAATGACAGCAAGTGGGTGGCCTCCTTCCTTGTTTGGGAACACTACTGGCTATTCTTCTGCTCTACCGCCCTTCCCATGCTTTCTCATGCAAAAGCAGGAACTGCCCTCCTAGTTCCTCTCTCCAAGACTCTTGCTGCCTCTCACTGGCTGTGGGCACTGGCACCTTGGGCTACTGGAGCTTTGCCCAGGAGTTGAGGCCTCTTCGGCTAGCTGTAAGAATTATTACAGGCAATAAAGTAGGACTCTGCCTCAAGGCAATAAACTAGGAAACTAGCACCACTAGCTTCAAGATTCTCCTTGGAAAAAAGACAATTTGCTGGGAGAAGTGGCTGGAGACAAGTTCAAAACTGAACCCCACCCATGTGGCAGAACCGGGGCTAGCCGTCCACAAGGAATTCCTGCTCCCTTGCCATAAAGTGAAGCTGTTGCTGGCAAGGACCTGCCCAGCCAGGGGGCATACTCCCCAGCCCACCCAGGAGTCTAGGAATAAACACGGGATCAAGGCTACCAATGGGATGTGAGCAGAAGTGATGTGTGGTACTTCTGGGCTAAGACAGTTAAGAAGCAAGTGTGTTTTTTCTACCCTCTCCTTCCCGCACCTGCTGGTTTAGGACTCAAAGGCCCTAAAGGAATGGGATGGGAAGGAGCCTGAGTCCCTGAATCACCATGTAGAGGAAGCTGTCCTCTACACCAACTGTCCATAAGCAAGAAATAAAGGTCTGTTGTAATAAGCCAGTGAAGTGCCAGCTTATTTGTTACAGCAGCTGGTGTTGCCCTAGCTAACACAGCACAGAATGTGGAGGACTTGTGAGCATCATATGGTCCAAGCTCTTGATTTTAAGGATGAGAAGACGGAGGCTTAAGGAAGGGAAGTACACTAAGAGGACTAGCCTGAGAAAGCCTGCCACGTCCACAGAGCTGTGCCAAGGGTGTGAGCATCCATGCTGGTGCCATGCAATTCTGTGCCCCAGAGCGCTGCTCATTGGACCAAAGCTGAGTGCCTGACCCAAGGGCAGCCAGTCATAAACCGTATCAATCTGCCATCCGTGATGGACATTCTGTCCAACAGGTCATCTCTTTCAGGAGTCTGACCTTGAGACACAGAACAAGAACTAAACACTCATCAGTGGGACCGAGAACCAAATAACACCCAGAGAGATGCAGGAAGCTAAGGAACGGTCAAGTCCTGACCGGGGCAGAGCAGGACTCTTGCTGCTGAGAAGTGTGTTAAGATTTCCCAGTTACTAGAATGGCCCATGGATTCTAAACGGCCACCCTGCTCCCAAATGATCATCCCGAGCCAAATGGGAACTAGACCCCAGGTGCTCTCGTCTGTTGATTCACCGCATCCGTCAGCTGCCAGGCCAGTTAGTGACAACATCACGCTCCTATCACCCATGAGTTGTCTGTGGCTCCTCCCCTTCTCTCGCCTCATTCGTTCTGCCTCCTGGTGGCTCTTATCCGTCCCTTGGATGTCAGAGGGCTCATTCCTCTTTTCCCTTCTGCCAGTCTGGAGGTGGTGTTCAGAATGGTGGAGCCACAACATGGAAAGAGCCTGGGTCCCTGAATCAACACTTGAGGAGACTAGGAACAGCCATTTGAGAGTTTACACAAATAAGGAATAATCTTCTATTATGTAAGAGCCATTATATGCTTTGGAGTTTGTTTGTTAGAGCAGCTGGTCCTTATCCGAATCAATACAACTTCCTTTCCATTCACACTGCTACTGCCGCAGTTGCAGCCCTCACCACCTCCTGCCTGGACCAACACAAGTACTCTCTAACAGGCCTGCAGCCCCCAGTCTCCATGCTTAGTGCAGACTAAGATGCTTACGCATCTCCCTAAAGCACAGCTCAGACTTGCCAAACGTCCTCCATGGTCTGCTCTCCCAACCCTGGCTTTCCAAACCCTCCAAGAAGTTGCTTCAACCCTCTTTTCCAGCCTCATCTCCACTGGTTTCCATCTATATTTTTTTCAAAGTTGCTTATCCATCCCTAAACATGGCCTTTCATGTTACTCCGGCTCTTTAGGGAACAAGGAACAGAGATCCACTCGAGTTGCCTGGAGTTAAAGGGGTTTCCAATTCCTCCCCTGCAAGGGCTGGGGCCCAACCAGGGAAGGTGTTGGAGACTGAAGCCACTCTTGGGAAAGGTTCCTCCCCTCTGTGGCCAAGTGGTCTTTCTCTTGTCTCTCTCCTTTTTTGGCCTTTTTCTTCAATCTTTCCTCTCTCTGACTCAGCCCCTTTGCTTCCTTAGGGTTTCTGCTCTCTTGGGGTTTTAACTCACCACCATCCTGACTTTAGTTCATAGTATCCTTTCAACCTCTACCCCCAAAGTCCACTGGCTCCTTCCCAGGGTTCCCCAGTTCTAACTGCTAAGAGAAAAGATCTGCCCCAGTTCTTCTTTTTCCCAGGCGGTCACAGCCAGTCTATGCCTTCCTGTCTCTGGCTCAGTCCTACACCCCTCGTATAAGTTTGCTAGGACCCCCATAACAAAATACCATGTACTGGGTGGTTTAAACCAGAACTTTATTTTCTCACAGTTCCAGAAGCTGGAAGTCCAAAATCAAGGTGTCTGCAAGTGTGGTTTCTCCTGAGGCCTCTCCTTGGCTTACAGACGGCTGCCCTCTCGCTGTGTCCTCACGTGGTCTTTCCTCTGTGCACCTGCACCCTAGCATCTCTATGTCCTAATCTCTTCTTATAAGGACACCAGTCAGATTGCATCAGGCTGCCCCAATGGCCTTGTTGTAACTTAATTACCTCTTAAAGGCCCCGTCTCCCAATAAAGTCACATTCTAAGCTACTGGAGGTTAGGGCTTCAACATATGAATTTGGGAGGGGACACAATTCCGTCCATAACACCCCGGGTCTAATCAGCTCTGATGGAGTGGGAGGGGGTCCTGGAGGCAGTGAATAGGCAGCATAGCCGACGATTCAGGCCATGTGTGTTTGCTCACCTTGATCCCTTTACTCCTGCCTAGAACGGTGCCTCCCACCTGCTTATCACCATGGTTTTTCGTTCATTAAGTCCCACCTCAAGCATAATATCCTGATCGCCATGGTGTAACCTTACTTCTCTTGGCTTGGCCTACATCTCTTTTATGGCACATATCGAGGCCTTCTTTATTCGTCCATTTAGCACATATTTGTGGAGAAGCAGCCTGGGGCAGTGGTACAGAGTGTGGACTTTGGGGCCAACTCCACCACTTACCAGCTGTAATTTTGGCCACGTTATGTTGTTAACCCCTCTGATCCTCGGTTTTATCTGAGAAAAGCTACACCTACTTCATGACAGATGAGGTTGAAATGAGCTAATATAAAATGCTCAGGAGGGTGCCTGACACACAGCAAGCCCTCAACGAGCATGAGCAATTAGAGGGCGCCTGCTCTCCACCGAGTGCCAACTGGAAAGTGGAGCAGACGGTCACATCCCAGTTAATTGTGCCCAGGTCCCAGTCCCCCTATTAGATCACGGTAGCTTGGAAGCCAGGACTAGGCCTGATTCGCCATGACGCCTGGGAGACAGGGGAGGCCCCACAAATGCTTGTTTTCAAAATTGAAAATGATGAAAGAAAAACGAAAAAGACAGAGAAATATGAGGATCAGTACAACATAACTCTCTTACTGGACACCTGCAAACAAAGAAACACGGTCAATGTGTTTCCTCTGAAACCAGGCCCTCTCCTTCCCAGAAGAAGCAGTTCTCGGTACACCCATGCCGCATCATTCAGAGAAAAGACGTGTAAAGCTCTCCTCCTTCAGGCACATGGAGATGCCATCTCTTCTGTGACTGCTCATCTGCCAGGTGCTTCCTGGCTCCACTGCCCAGGCTTCAAATGGATATTTTAAATTCTTGGATTCTCCTGGTTACTTCCGTCACAATTCTACAATTGCTCTCTTCACACCATTAAGGATGAGTCGCTATTGAATTGCCACTGACTGCCCAGGGGAGTTAGGAAGATGGCCATGTTAAAGTGGGAGAAAAGCCAAGACTCTTGTTCTAAAATGCTTCAGTTCAGCACAGTTTCATTCACAGTAATAAGGAACCATTTCTAAGTGGCTACCATGCTCCAGACATGGCCTCTTTGAACCTGGAGACAACCCTGTGTAATCCATTTCAATTTCCCCCTCATGCTTTCTCATTTTAGTGTCGAGTCTAAATGCAGAACTTGACATGTGTCTGTAGGACAGTTCAACATTTGATTTCTCTCTGCCATTCTAACCTCTGCAAGCCTTTTTGAATACCGCTTCTTCTATCCAATGTACATTAATTCCTTTTTGAAGTACTCGGGCATTTGAACACTTTCGCTGAGTTCATCCAGGTTATTGATAAAAACATTTAATAGAACAGAGCCCTAAGCACTCCGCTAGAGACCTCTTTCCAGGAGCCATGTAATGGTGCTGCAGTTGGCAGAACGTGAGGAAAGAGATGACTACACGAGAACCCAGGTTAGGAAGACTTACTCTATTTAAGCCCTGTGTTTATCAGGGTCCAGGGTTCTGGAGACATGACACAAGGAAATTCAGCAGTGCATCACAAAGGCCATGCTTGTTTCCCGAGTGTTGGGAGCTTATCACAGGACAGCCTCTATTTATTCTATAGACATATGGCTTAATTATTTAATTTAGAAAAAAAGAACCAAAATATCTGGAAGATCTAGGGCAGGGCAATTTCTTCCCTAAGTAATATCAATGGGTATGACCCTTGACTAGGGACAATATTTCTCACTTTGAAAAAGAATGAAGCTATCCTATATTCCCATCCTGTCCCTCCTCTGTCACAAACAGGCCTGGCTCCCTCTGCTGGCAGAAGAAAGACAAATGCAAGACAAACTTCTCTGGGAGAACGTTCAGTGGCCTTTGTGACCTGGCCCCAATTTATCTTCCCAGACTAGACTCAGCTCTGGAGAAGTCCACAAGACATCTGACTGACCTCT